TACCTGATAACAAAACCTTTTTTCTAGTGTATACGTAATTTTTTCAAACCAAAAAAGGCCACCAATTCAGCATGCTGGTCTCCACCCCCAATAGGTTGGTTTAAATTAAACTTGGATGCTAGTGTTCGACCTACAACTTGTGAGGCTAGCTTCGGTGGTATCCTGCGAAATCAACTTAGAGTGTCTATTTTTACTTAGAATGGTCAATTGCCTTTTTGTGACATTAACGAAGCTGAGTTTCGAGTAGTTAAGGAAGGTGTCCTAAGGGTTACTCGCAACCATCTTAATCTCATAGTTAAGGGTGATTTTGCTAATGTGATCAATTAGTAACACATGACTCATTAACCATGGATGTCAATTATGGATAAAAATCAAATAGCCATTATTGAAAAAGAGGTCATCTTTTATCATGTTAACGAAGAGGAAAATAACGATGCAGATCGACCTTTCCTTTTTCCTTGTCCTCTTCACCTTTCTCTCCTCTATTATGCTTCTTTTTTCCTTTGTTACTCTTTTTGTAATACCTTGTAACTCTAAATATTTGCTCCTTATTAATGAAAGTCTAAGTTAATGCTCAAAAAAAAAACAAAGAGTAAATTTTCAAACAAATATAAAATAAGGGACCCAAGTGCCGGAGACACCCAAGTGACCTCTTCATATTAGAGAGAGGAATGATAGGAGCATCAATATGTAGCATTACTTGATGGACACGGTTTCTATAGGTCCATGGACTAACCAATATAAATACCGGCCCCTTAATAATTTATTTTTTAATTAGAATTTAATCTAATTTTTAAGAATATAAAATCTTTAAAGATTATTAATCTGTAAAAGTAAGTAAGTTTCCAAAACTAAAAATGATATTTTTTGAAAAAAATATTTAAATCATTGATTTTGCTTTTTCTTTGGAGGACTGTTATTTGCATAATGAGGTTTTGGTGGACGGCGCAGATTTCCGGCGCGCATAGTAATAGGCGTGGGCTTGGACGGCACCAAACAATTCTCTTTACTTGATTCAGCTGAAAAATATGAAAATTTGGTGGCTTCTTATTGAAGAGAGGTAGAGGTTCTTTCGTATGATAGGAACATCAATTTAGAAGCATTGGTGTTTTTATCTTCTACAAAAATGAGAGATTTATTCACTCCAATAAAATAAATAAATAAATAAATAAAAATAAAATAAATAATGAAGGACTCAAGTGAAAATATGAAATTTTGACCGCTTCGTATTTTCAAGAGTGAGCACCTTCCACGTGGCAAAAAGCTGTGGGCAGTAATTGTTGACGTGGCACTTGTAGCGAGCGGTTAGGCTACATAGGGCTGTGACGTGGCACTCGTAGCGAGTGGTTAGGCTAAAAAGGGTGGTGTGATCGTTAGTTATCCCACCTCCCTCTAATTCTGAATGCGAAGGAGTGAGTTTGACGTATTCTAAGGCAGCAGTTAATTAACTTAATTACCCACTTATGGTTTGGTTTAGGGGAATCCAAGGAACAAGTCGGACCATTTTGCCCCAAATCTACATCATAATTTCTGATTCCAAATATTCGAGGATCTGATAGAAAATCTAAGTGAAAAGGTTGGGAAGAGAGACACGAATTAGAGCAATTAAATAAGGGTGGTAATGGGCCCTGGACCTGGCTCGGCCGTTGTCCCCATAGGACTTGTCCAGCCGGGTTGTGACCCTGTCTGGGCTGGATTGAAATCAAATGGAATGAAAAAAAAAAAAAAAGATCAAAAAAAAATAAGGCCGGTCCGCAGGCCATAGGTTGGGGGCTAGGCTCTACTTTTTTTTTTAAGGATCGGGCTGGGTCGCCCCGCCCAGTGCCAACCCTACAACTAACCAATGACATTTCACAGTCATTTCCAATTAGATGTTGCACATAATTGAGTGCCGATTTAGCAACTAAACCTAGGAATAATGAGAAGGCGCACAGAATAACAAAAGAGCAATTCAACACATTATTATTGATATTATCTGAATCATTATTTTAAATAAATCCCAAAATTCGAGACTGCCTCCCATCCAATAACTTCCTAATTGCGTTACAAAGCCATCACGTTGTGTTTTCGGAAGAAAATCAAATCCTCTTCCTCTTATTTAAAGGAAAAACGATGTGGCATGGATTTCAAATCTCAAATGCCAAATCTGCATGTCCCCATAGTTTTAGAAAATTTGAACTGTTTTATTACATATGCCACCCCGCACCCATATTTAGGCGTAGCATTAGATCGACGGTTTAGCTAGGTAGTGGACAATGCTAACCGCAGATGTAAGCTCAACGAGGGAATGAGGTTGAGGTCTTGGTGGTAGCACTAATTGAGCTTTAGCTATCGGTTTAGGTTTCCATTCCTACTGACGCATTTGAAAACCGTTAATTATTTCTAAAAACGGGTAGGAGCCTGTATTCCCCACTAATCCACCCAAAAAAGGATGTAAGCTCAATGATCGTGTTTGGTCCTTTAGCTATATTTCATGAACCTAACATGATGGTTGATTTACTTATCAAGAAAGCCAAAGCTTTTTTAGATGCCATTATTTGGCGATCTAGACCGCCGGATCTTCTTTCTATTGCATTAGTTCATGACGTGGCACAGTTCTAGGGCTATAAAATTATGAGCTATATTTCCTTTTATTATTAATGCAAATCAAGTAGGGGGCCTTCTCCCTTGTTAACTTACCCAAAAAAAAAAGATGATTATTTTTGGCACAAGGAGGCTACAATCATTCTTAGCCATTAGATTTGAAATCCTACATATTGAAGTGTGCCACAGTATTAGATAACTTTTATTTTTGACTTTGTGCCTAGTCAATGATGCATTCCCAAACCCCCGTCCCCTATGGGATTTCATATTTAAGGTCAATAATGATTGTAACTTTCTCATAGCAAAAGTAAATGGTCCTATTAGATATATTTTATTTTAATTTACAGTTATAAAAAACCATTTTAAATTTAAAAATTTTAAATAGAAAGTTTGTCAAAATACTTAAAAGAGATGCACTATTCAGAATTTTGCACTTTTGATATAGTTCGAATTTATGATCATGAGCCTTTTTATGGGTATCTTGAAATTAAATTAAACAGTAGAAAAACAATGTTCAATACTTCACCTCATATAGGTATGTTGATAATTTTCCTATAAAGATATGCTAAACATCCAATTTTTTTGTAAATATTAATAATTTTTTGATTAATTCTTAACAACTTATTCAATTCCTTTGACTATTAATTTTAATTTTTTAAGAGAATTTGGGCACTCCATACCAATATCCAAATTGTTTTTTTATTAATTCTTGACACCTTATTCGATTCCTTTGACTATTAGTTTTAATTTTTTAAGAAAATTTGGGCACTCCATATCGATATCCAAGGAAATAGAATGGTCACTAGAAATTCAGTGAAAAGGGGTGGTTTGTATAAGGTTGTAATCTCAAACAATCAAATTAAGACGCACCTTCAAATTTTGTCCCAAATATAATTTTGGTGTCAAAAAAATCTTAAGATGGCTCTAGAATCTATTTTCATATCTAATTATAAAATTTTAAATTTCAAAAATAGTTCAAATCAAGTAGATCTATAAACACATGAAGATCTTGACAATAGACAGTTCAGATAACATGTTTCAAGATACACTATTTAGGACTCAAAATCTAATTTTCTTTTCATATTCATATATATGGATGTCGAGATGATAAATGATAAAAAATTCCAACATCAAAACAACTATTTACGATGGATTTTCAAAGTGCACATTAGTTCTACATTTTTAAGGTTGCAACCTTATGTAAACTTCACATTTTTAAGGTTGCAACCTTACATAAACTTTTTCCTTGTGTAAAAGGGCATCAAAAGACAGTTTCAAGAATCGTGGGTAATTATGTCATTTCTGTACGGTAAGGACATATTCGTCATTAATACAGTTTGTGAGTTTGTCATAATCCTTAACCATAGATATAACCGCCAGGCAGAGTGGTTAAAGAGCAAGAGTGAGAAGATATATAGAATTTAGGGTTTGAAAGAGAGCGAGAGAGACAAAGAAGCAAATTAACAGCCATTGACTGCCTTTCCTGCACAAATATCCCGGTAAATCTACTCATGTTTTACTCTTCTTTACTTGTTTCTAATGCTCTCTCTCTCTCTCTCTCTCTAAAACTGTCTCTCTCTCTCTATCTCTATCTCTAAAACTGTGACTCTCTCTCACTATCAACTGATTTGCAGTAAATTATTTCCTAGTTTGAACTTCTAACTACCTGCTTCTCTTAATACGAACAGTCGTTTCTCTTTCTTCTCACTGTTGAAATTCTTTATTTGTATTGAAGCTTATCTCTTTAACAGTCTTTGTGTCTATTTCCATTACATGAACTGAATTTTCTTTTGGATTTCTTCACTCCAACACCCTCTTAATCTCTCTACTGAAAATGGGACTTCTCTACATTGCAAGAACATCTCTCTCTCTTTGTACACTGATGCAAATGGGCCTCGTTTATTTTTTTTTAACAGTAAATTGGGCATTATTATTCATATAAAATCTCTCTCTCTCTCCCCATTGCTAAACATGGGTACTCTCCTCTCATTTGGTTGCAGGATCTTCTAACTAGTTTCCAACATGGATTCATGCCTTCTATCTGAGTACCCTTGCACTCATGAGCTTTTCTCATTCAACCATATGGAGGACTCATTTGCAGAAGAAATACTAAGCATATTCAATAATTGCAATGAAACCATCAACCCCTGCCTCATGGATTACTTTCAAACCCAAGCTCCTGAAATTTTCTTCAATGACCCATATACTCTTCAACCTCAGACTCTTCAGTTCGACGAATATGAGAGTTTGTATTCCTTTGAACCAGTCCAAAAACGACTGAAGCCATGGACCCAAAATCACACAATGGAAACCCAATATAACCAATATATAAACTCTTCTGATTCTTATTCAGATATGTATTTCAGTCAACATGAGGGAAATTACTGGCCAATGCCCGATTACATGCCGGAAACTGCTTTTCCGGCGAAAGTTCCTCCATTTTCTGGTGGGGTAATGCAAAAACCAGCAGAGATTTTATCAGCTCAAAGCATTGCTGCTAGACAGAGGAGAAAGAAGATTAGCGAGAAGACGAGAGAGTTAGGGAAGCTTATTCCTAATGGAACTAAACTGAACACTGCTGAAATGCTTCAAGAGGCTTCGCAGTATGTCAATTTTCTTCAGGCCCAACTCTCACTTCTTAAGCTCATGGACTCCACTTCAACACCAATTGAGGTAAATAAACCCACCAAGCAAAATAACCCATTCTCAGTTAATATGCATGCATACATTCATGTATTTTGTCCTTCATGATACTGAATGGATTTATATATTTTTGTCCAAAACACACATAGACACACATGCATGTATGCATTCTTAAGTATCAGGCAATTGTATCCTATACACAATACAATCTGAACACACATGCAAACTGACATATGTATTTTCTCTGTGTTTTTATGGAAATTATACTATTCTAATATATATATGTGAATTATAATTTTATGATAATGCTAATGAAGGTTTTAATTACATTTGCTTGGCAGGAGGAACTTGGGGTCTTATGTGGCTCTCTCACAATTCAAGAGAAACTGTGTGAAGAGGGCAAATGCCTTGCCTCAACAAAATTTATGAAATCTTTGGTCCAAGATTCAAAGATACTGGGTGACCATGCTCTATCTAAGGACCTTATGTGCCTGATTCAGTCTCTAGAAACCTAGATCATGTAACTCTTCTTGTAATGTGAATAGTCCTCTTGAGGAAAATCCTTTGTTTTTTGCTCAAAGGTGCAGCAGTTTTGCTTAAGTTCTTGTTATTGCTCTGTAGTTTAAATTGAATTTGAACCACAGGATTCTTGGATTAATGAAAACTCCCTCTTTTTTCCAATCTATTTTTGAATATATAAACCCTCTCTCTCTCTCTCTCTCTCTCT